AGACGGCGCTCAGAAACAGGAGACACCACCCTGGTGCGAGGCCCGCACGTCACAGCTGGAGAGGAGCCCCCGCTCAGGAGCTGGAGAAAGGCCCACACAGCGAGGAAGACTCAGCTCAGCCGAAGACAAATACATTTAAAAATCACAACAATAAGAAATCTCCATAAAACTGCAAAACATTATCACTACTCAAATTTAATAAGCAGCATGTCTCTGCACAGTTCAGAACAATGGACGCCAAAATGACAACAAAAGTCCCAGTTTTGTTGTGATCACAATGGGTATCTCCTCCTGTCCTGGTCATAAGAAGGAGGCTGCCGTTTAAACAAGCAGTGCCAAAATAAGAAATTCTGCTTAATACTAAAGTAAGGAGGTGGGCTTGGGCCAACTGAAGAGCTCTGCTAGGACCCTTTGTCAAACTTTGGATGTAATTATAATCCCAAATATCAAATAATTTCAGAGAATGGAGAAGAATGTTCTAGGCCTACGCTATCCAATAGAAATATAATGCTAGGCACACATGATTTTAAGTTTTCCAGTAGCAACATTAAAGAAAAAAGAAACAGGTGAGATTAATTTGAAGAATATTGATTTATTTTATTAACCCAATATATCCAAAATATCATCTCAGCATGTAATCAAAATTAATGAGATATCTTACTTTTTTCATATAAAACCTTCAACATTTGGCCTGGATTTCACACCTACAGTTCACCTCAATTTGGAGCAGCTACAATTCAAGTGTTCATTAGCCAAATGTAGCAAGTGGCTATAATATTAGCAAAGACCGAGACAGTTTCATTCTGTGGTGAAGATTCTAAAGAGCAAAGCGGTTAGGGGACGGGTAAACTGAGAGCCAGGCCTAGAGTTGCTTCTAACTCCCGACCAAACATTTGTTCTATTTAATCAGACCGTCAGCCCTGCGATTTGACACAGAGAGTATCAAATTAAGGCAGGCCAAGGACACCCGGGATGCAAGTTACTGTCAAGACCGTGTGAAACCAGAGCTCACTGTCAAAAGACCGTGTCTGGCTGAACCAAAGGACACCCAACAGCAAATCAACAGAGCAGACCCTATCTCAGTCGGTAAGCCTGGATGCTTTGTTCTGAGAAGTCTGAGAACATCACAGGTATTGTAGGGTCCAAACTCCCCAGGCTCAGAACAGTGACTGTGAAAATAGCACAGTGCACACAGAGGGAAGGGTTTTTGAGAATTCAAGCTCACATGACACTGGACAGAATTTCCTACACCCTGACCCTCCTCACTGTTGGTAATATTTATGAAGTAATCAGGGGCTTCCCTGGTGGTACACTGGACAAAAACCCGCCTGCCAATGCAGGGGACACGGGTTCGATCCCTGGCCCAGGAAGACCCTACATGCTGCAGCAACCACTGCAGCCCATGAGCCTGGAACCGTGCTCTGTATCAGGAGCGGCTCCAAAATGGCAAGCCCACGTTCTGCAGGGCAGCCCCGCTCAGCACAACCAGAGAGCTCATACACAGCGACGAAGACTCAGCACCGCCAAAGCAAAGAAATCATAAAGAAAAAGAAGCCATCTGCAGGAATAAGAAAAGATGTCTTGCTTAAAAGGAAATACTCTGGCCCAAAATAGGAGAGAGAGGGAAATTGTCATATGTTAATCACTGTTAAAGCTGGGTGATGGATACAAGGCTATTTATTATATTAAATGATTCTTCCTTCCTTTCTGTAACATGAAAATTTCCACAATAAAAAGTTTTGGTTTTTTTTAAAGGAGGGAAGAGGGAGGGGGGCATAGTCTTGCTTCTAAAAGAGGAAGTTTCCTAGTGTCAGAGCCCTGACACCAGGACAAATAAACAGACTCCAGCATTCTGGTGATAATTCCACGAGCACTTGAAAATACGCAGACGTTTCCATTTTAAGGAAGCGACCGAATGGAGAGCAGAGGAAGGAAAGAGGGAAAATATTTTTAAAATGCCTACAACCCCAACGTCCTGAGAAAGTCACTGACAGCAGCATCTCAACATAGGCCCTCCAGACCATCCCGGGCTGTTTATTGGAACGCGTATCATGGCCTCCAGCCTGATGAAGTGAGGTGGCAGCGGGGCTGCTCTCCAGGAGCGGGCCTGCCTCAGGAAGGGCCACCTTCCAGGTGGTTCTCAGCCGGAGGGTCAAACTCTGGGCTGGGCAAGTGACAGAGAGTGTGACACAGCCCCTCCTCTGAAGACTTAACTCCCCAACCAGGGCAGGGCAGTGGCTGCTGTTCGGCCCTGAGTGTGTCGCACTCTCTGCGACCCCAGGGGCTGCAGCACGCCCAGCTCCCGTCCTCCACTACCTCCCGGAGTTCGCTCAGATTCCTGTCCATCAGGCCGGTGATGCCATCCAACCATCTCGTGCTCTGCTGGCCCTCTCCTTCGGCCCTCAGTCTCTCCCAGCATCAGGGTCTTTCCCGATAAGTCGGCTATTTGCATAGGGTGGCCAAACCACTGAAGCATCAGCATCAGTCCTCCCAGTGAATATTAGAGCTGATTTCCTTTAGACTTGACTGGTGTGATCTCCCTGCAGTCCAAGGGACTCTCAAGAGTCTTCTCTGGCTAGTAGACCTGAATCATCCAGGGTCCTGGACAGAGGACCTTGAACTCCTACAGCTGGGATCCCAGAACCTGACTGACTCCGCATTTCTGTCTCCAGCTTGTGAAAACAACCAGTACCCTTCTTACAAACACGGTTTTCTCATTTAAGCTGGATACAGTTCCCATCCGTTGTTTGAAGTAAAGAACTCCGATAAGAGTAATAACGAATTTTCCACCAGGTACTGTGCTAAAATTTTGACTGGAGTTAATTCATTTACTCCTCAAACACTCCCATGAGGTAAATACTACCACTGACTCCATTTCAGAACTGAAAACCTGGAGATCCAGGCAGATTAAATAGTATGGCCCAGCTTACCACTACTGGTTGTTGAGCTGGGATTCGAACTTCGGCTGGTGGATCTTGCCATTTTATCCAAAATCATAAAACCTTCAATTAAGCTGCTTTCTGGCCTGCTTTTTTCATTAGCAATATGTTAAGAATGTCTTTGCATGTTGGAAAATACATCTTTTGTTAACAAAGCCACAGTGAATTTCATAATTCAACCAAGACCCTCTTCCACTGAGATATTTAGGTTGTTTTCGTTTTTCAGTTTCATGAATATGGCTCTAATAGCTGCCCTTTTCATCTGAAGGTGCATCCAATTTACAGCTGGGTTAACGTTCCGGCCTGGGTTTGTCAGGTCAAAGGACGCACGCCCTTTCCCATTCTCAGTACGTGTGGTGTAGCAGGGCACTGTCCTCACAGCCTGTTAAATGCAAAAGGAACAACGTCAGCTTTTCTCTGAGAAAGGCTGTGGGCATTCCCGTGTGCTGGGAAAGGAGACAATCTGCGCAGCTAAATCAGAAAGAAGATTCTGTTTTTAAATGTCAATTGGTGAAGGATAATAGGATTTCCCAATCAATACCAAGTACAGTTCAAGTCCAGTGTTTGAGTTCTATTGCGTCGCATTCCCCGGGGCACTTCTAAAGGGCTGTGCTCAGGGATGACTGTGGAAAAGGTGAGTTACAAGCAAAAACGTTCCTGCGACTCTTGGCCTCTTTTCTTTGCACTGGCTGCTTCGAAAGCCAGAAGAGACACCAGTTAAATCAACACAGCGATACGACTGCCAGTGTGTTTATTTACCCCATGAGACTGAGGTTCTCTAGTTCCTGTTCTTAGGTCACTCCGGTGTGCTAACCTCCTGAGGAGATCGCACTCTTTCCTACTTTGTTCTATACAGACTGAACCCTCTCTAGCTGAATACAAAATCACACTTCAAACTAGACCTAACTGCTAGCTAACGAAGGCTGATGCTCCATCTGAGATGAGCAGGAAGCTTGAGAGAAAGATAATGGCTGAAAGCACCCACCCCTCACAAGGGGGCAGGTGGGAAAGACAAAATATATTAGGATGTGTGGCCGGGGCCGCACCCTTGTGACACTGGACAGCAAACCCCACACTGAGCCGTTCTCTGGGAGACCGGATGACTGAAGGCAGAAAAGTACGAACAACAGTCCAAGATCCCTTGTGATTTTGAATATCTAGGGAAAACTAGTTACTCAGTAACTTTTATCCACTCAGACAGAATATACTTTAAAAAGAAAATGTTTGTCCTAAAACTAGTATCAGGACATAGAATATATTAGCACAGTCCTGGTAACTAACTCAGGCAGAGGCTGGCTAGGCTGACAGTGATTATCTTGCAGGGACAGATAAGAATGATGAAAGGGAAAAGACAAGTAAATATTTACCAAACACAATTCCAAGGAAGAAAAGAGAGAGCAGACCCAGGAAACTAAAGAATATGAAGATAAAATGAAGCACTCCCAGAAAATTCAGGGACTCAGAAGAGAATAAAAAATTAAAAATCAGAGTGGATCAGGACATGCTACCTATTATTCTAACTAGTTCAGCGGCCACGTTTCCTCCTATTTGGCAATCCTCATGCCTGCCCCCAGTCAGCGGTCAGCCCAGCTCTTGGGGGAAAGTGAGCAGAGACAGAGAGGGATGAGAGCGGCTGTGGAGAATGCGAAGAATCCGCCCGCAGGACACACGGTCCGACCCCTGATCCCAGAAGAGCCGATGCGCCAGATGAACTGAGCCCGAGTGTCTCAACTCCTGAGCCCAACAGCTGAAGCCCCGTACAGACGAGCCGCCAGATGCGAAGCCCTCACACTGCGGTTAGAGAGCAGGCTCAGCTCGCCACAGCTCGAGAAGAGCCTGAACCGCAGCGAAGACCCGGCACAGCTGATAATTCAAGCAAAAAAAGAGCGCATGCAGACAGGGCAGGATTCCCCTCCCACGGGAAGCCTCCCAGCAGAACCCGGAGGCCACGGGATCATGCTCGCGGCCTCCTCAGGGGCGAGGTGTACAAGCCTGGCTAACCCGCCAAGGCCAGCAGGCAGTCTCAGGGGACACAGCTGGTCCCCGAGGAGCGGGACTCACCGAGGGCGTGGCTGCAGCTCCGGCAGGACTCTGTCAGGCTGACGATGATCTGCTGCAGGTCGGCTCTGGGGGGAGTGGGCGAAGGATTGGGGTTTTTCCAGCCATTGCATTTACAAGATTCCTCTGCCTAAAAAGCGAATAAAGAGAGAAACAAAATTATATACTAGACACCACGGAACTGAATGTTTTATGCATAAGTAACACACACCAGTCACAGGACTGCAACCTCCCCACTCCTGACTTAATAATGTTCTCTGTATTAGCAGGAAACAAAAGCAGAAAAAAGGCAAAGGGGTGTGTGCCTCAGGCATGTTGCTTTTGTCGTTGCTTTTAGGGTTTCGGTTTCTTTTCTGCTGATCCTGCCTCACAGAGAGGAGACTGTGCCCTCCGCTCTGGTGCCACGGCCCCAGGGAGCATCCACGGGGTCCATTCATCAAGCTTTCCGAAGGGAAAAGCCAGATTCCTGAGGTCCCCGCAACACGTGCGGTTCCAGCGACAGCTCTGCCCAGGGCACTGACGGGGTCAGCAACCCCAGGGCCACCAGAGGACGCCCCCGCCGGCTCCTCCCACTCCCCGCCGGCTCCTCCCACTCCCCGCAGACCCCGCCCACTCCCCTGCCGGCTCCTCCCACACACTCGCGGGCTCCTCCCACACACTCGCGGGCTCCTCCCACTCCCCCGCAGACCCCGCCCACTCCCCTGCCGGCTCCTCCCACACACTCGCGGGCTCCTCCCAGTCCCTCGTGGGCTCCCAGCGGTACAAGTGGAGAGGGTTCTTCGTGGAGGCCACGGGTTCTCCCTCCAAGAAATATCTCAGGTTTCCCACACCAGAGCACTTTTTAGTAACACTTGACTTTCCCCACTTACTCTTCACATTTCCCCTCCTTCTTAGAAAACAGCAAACATGCTCAAGTGTTTCTGTGATGACCTGGGGTTATAAAGCAGAGGAGAGGAGTGGAAAGGTATCAATTATTCCCGATTATTCTACCGAGTACCACTCTGGGTCTTCACGGGTCATAAGGTGTGGAGGGAAACGTGGAAAGCTTGCACTGAATGATTCCAACCTTTACTCCCTTCACTGACTCTATCCTTCACCACATCAGTTCAGTTCAGTAGCTCAGTCGTGTCCGACTCTTTGCGACCCCATGAATCGCAGAACGCCAGGCCTCCCTGTGCATCACCAACTCCCGGAGTTTACTCAAACTCATGTCCATCGAGTCAGTGATGCCATCCAGCCATCTCTTCCTCTGTCGTCCCCTTCTCCTCCTGCCGCCAGTCCCTCCCAGCATCAGGGTCTTTTCCAATCAGTCAACTCTTCAAATCAGGTGGCCAAAATATTGGAGTTTCAGCTTCATCATCAGTCCTTCCAGTGAACACCCAGGACTGATCTCCGTTAGGATGGACTGGTTGGATCTCCTTGCAGTCCAAGGGACTCTCAAGAGACTTCTCCAACACCACAGTTCAAAAGCATCAACTTTTCAGCGCTCAGCTTTCTTCACAGTCCAACTCTCACATTCATACATGACCACTGAAAAAACCATAGCTTTGACTAGATGGACCTTTGTTGGCAAAGTAATGTCTCTGCTTTTTAATATACTATCTAGGTTGCTCATAACTTTCCTTCCAAGGAGTAGGTGTCTTTTAATCTCATGGATGCAATCACCATCTGCAGTGATTTTGGAGCCCAAGAAAATAAAGTCTGACACTTCTTCCACTGTTTCCCCATCTATTTCCTATGAAGTGATGGGACTGGATGCCATGATCTTAGTTTTCTGAATGTTGAGCTTTAAGCCAACTTTTCCACTCTCCTCTTTCACTTTCATCAAGAGGCTCTTTAGTTCTTCTTCGCTTTCTGCCGTAAGGGTGGTACCATCTGCATTTCTGAGGTTATTAATATTTCTCCCAGAAATCTTGATTCCAGCTTGTGCTTCCTCCAGCCCAGCGTTTCTCATGATGTACTCTGCATATAAGTTAAATAAGTAGGGTGACAATATACAGCCTTGATGGACTCTTTTTCCTATTTGGAACCAGTCTGTTGTTCCATGTCCAGTTCTAACTGTTGCTTCCTGACCTGCATACACGTTTCTCAAGAGGCAGGTCAGGTGGTCTGGTATGCCCATTTCTTTCAGAATTTTCCACGGTTTATTGTGATCCACATAATCGAAGGCTTTGGCATAGTCAATAAAGCAGATATAGATGTTTTTCTGGAACTCTCTTGCTTTTTCGATGATCCAGTGGATATTGGCAATTTGATCTCTGGTTCCTCTGCCTTTTCTAAAACCAGCTTGAACATCTGGAAGTTCTCGGTTCACATATTGCTGAAGCCTGGCTTGGAGAATTTTGAGCATTACTTTAATAGCGTGAGGGATGAGTGCAATTGTGCGGTACTTTGAGCATTCTTTGGCATTGCCTTTCTTAGGGATTGGAATGAAAACTAACCTTTTCCAGTCCTGTGGCCACTGCTGAGTTCTCCAAATTTGCTGGCATATTGAGTGCAGCACTTTCACAGCATCATCTTTCAGGATTTGAAATAGCTCAACTGGAATTCCATCACATCCACTAGCTTTGTTCGTAGTGATGCTTCCTAAGACCCACTTGACTTCACATTCCAGGATGTCTGGCTCTAGGTGAGTGATCATACCATCGTGATTATCTGGGTCATGAAGATCTTCTTTGTACAGTTCTTCTGTGTATTCTTGCCACCTCTTCTTAATTATCTTCTGCTTCTGTTAGGTCCATACCATTTCTGTCCTTTATCGAACCCATCTTTGCCTGAAATGTTCCCTTGATATCTATAATTTTCTTGAAGAGATCTCTACTCTTTCCATTCTGTTGTTTTCCTCTACTTCTTTGCATTGATCACTGAGGAAGGCTTTCTTATCTCTCCTGGCTATTCTTTGGAACTCTGCATTCAAATGGGAATATCTTTCCTCTTCTCCTTTGCTTTTCGCTTCTCTTCTTCTCACAGCTATATTTGTAAGGCCGACTCAAACAACCATTTTGCCTTTTTGCATTTCTTTTCCATGGGGATGGTCTTGATCCCTGTCTTCTGTATAATGTCACAAACCTCCGTCCATAATTAATCAGGCTCTGTGTCTATCAGATCTAGTCCGTGAGAAGATACCCCTCCACCAAGGTAAGGAGCAGCGGCTGCGCTTTGCTGGAGCAGCCGTGAAGAGATACCCCACGTCCAAGGTAAGAGAAACCCAAGTAAGACGGTAGGTGTTGCCAGAGGGCATCAGAGGGCAGACACACTAAAACCATAATCACAGAAAACTAGCCAATCTGATCACAGGACCACAGCCTTGTCTAACTCAATGAAACTAAGCCATGCCGCGTGGGGCCACCCAAGACAGTCGGGTCATGGTGGAGAGGTCTGACAGAATGTGGTCCACTGGAGAAGGGAATGGCAAACCACTTCAGTATTCTTGCCTTGAGAACCCCATGAACAGTATGAGAAGGAAAAATGATAGGATACTGAAAGAGGAACTCCCCACGTCGGTAGGTGCCCAATATGCTAATGCATCAATGGAGAAATAACTCCAGAAAGAATGAAGAGATGGAACCAAGGCAAAAACAATACCCAGTTAATGGATGTGACTGGTGATAGAAGCAAGGTCCAATGCTGTAAAGAGCAATATTGCATAGGAACCTGGAATGTTAGGTCCAGGAATCAAGGCAAATTGGAAGTGGTCAAACAGGAGATGACAAGAGTCGACATTCTTATGTCGACATTCTAGGAATCTGTGAACTAAGATGGACTGGAATGGGTAAATTTAACTCAGATGACCATTATATCTACTACTGTGGGCAAGAATCCCTTAGAAGAAATGGAGAAGCCATCATGGTCAACAAAAGAGTCCGAAGTGCAGTACTTGGATGAAATCTCAAAAACGACAGAATGATCTCTGTTCGTTTCCAAGGCAAACCATTCAATATCAGGGTAATCCAAGCCTATGCCCCAACCAGTAATGCTGAAGAAGCTGAAGTTGAACGGTTCTATGAAGACCTACAAGACCTTTTAGAACTAACACCCAAAAAAGATGTCCTTTTCATTATAGGGGACTGGAATGCAAAAGTAGGAAGTCAAGAAACACCTGGAATAACAGGCAAATTTGGCCTTCGAGTACGGAATGAAACAGGGCAAACGCTAATAGAGTTTTGCCAAGAGAACGCACTGGTCATAGCAAACACCCTCTTCCAACAACACAAGAGAAGACTCTACACATGGACATCACCAGATGGTCAACACTGAAATCAGATTGACTATACTCTTTTCAGCAAAAGATGGAGAAGTTTTATATAGTCAGCAAAAACAAGACCAGGAGCTGACTGTGGCTCAGATCATGAACTCCTTATTGCCAAATTCAGACTGAAATTGAAGAAAGTGGGGAAAACCACTAGACCATTCAAGTATGACCTAAATCAAATCCTGGACACTACTGGCCTTTAAATAAACTGCAATATTTTTATGCTTGGGCTTTGTGTTAGATCTTTTGTCCCCTCAGACGTCTTTTCTCCCTGGTTTGGATCTCCCAGCTCCCCCAGCCCCTGATGTACCAGATGGCTGAAGTTAACAGAAGTCTGAAAATTTCAGAACGGCTGCTGCCTTGACCTCACACGGAAAATTCTCCGAAGATAGGAATAGTTCCTGAAGTGTACCCATGTAAAGGAGATTAAGAAAAGAAAGAATAAATAACTGGCAAGGCAGGGAGGGTCAAGATGCAAGAAGAAAAACCTGCTTTTGAGGGTAAGCCCTTCCCCGTGGGCATGTGGAACCTGGCAATCGCCACCTTACTGCTCCTCACAGTGAGGATGGGGAGGAAGGACCTTCCACCAGCGACCCCCAACAGAGCAGCCCCCAGTGCCTCGCTCCAGGGACCCTCACTGGTCTGGCCAGGCACCAGGCAGGACCTACTGCTACCCACAGGCTCTGATACTAAGCTAAACCAGGCCCTGAAATTCTCTGAGGCAAGCCATCTGCCTCTGAGAGACAAGGTCTCCCAGGCCGTGTTCCTGAGGTGATGCTCATGAGAGTCTGCTCCCCAGAAAGCACCCCACAACCTCGAGGGCTGGGGCAGACCCCCACACATACCCACCCCTCTTCTCCTCGTGCTGGGCCATCTGC